GGCACCTATGTATGAGGACAGTGGTGGGGGGGGGGACGGTGAGTGCGGAGGGGAGCTATGGGGGGAAAAAGAGGAACAACTGTAATAATCTGAACAATAAAGATTTAAAAAAATAAATAACAAAAAAAGATGTCTTTATTTTTGTGTGTGATTAATCACTATGCTTTAATTACATTCAATTTGTAACAATGAAATTGGGGGTCACCACAAAATGAGGAACTGTATTAAAGGGTCGCAACATTAGGAAGGTTGAGAACCACCGGTCTAAGGTTTATTTCTACCTCAATTGCTGGCCCCTACCCAGCCTTGCCCTGGTCCGGGCTTGGGCAGGAGGCAAACAACTGATGGGTTTCTCTCACATCAATTATTTCTTTCTTTCCCTCCCTCCCCTACTCTCTCTAAACATCAATGGGAAAATATCCTTGGGTGAGGATTAAAAAAACAAACAAAGGTGGGTAACCTGGTCAGAAGGTCAAATCTTCAAAGTGCAGGCAGGCTGCTCCTCCCAGGGCGTCCGGACTGAATGTTCCAGAGCATCTCCAGGAAGGCCTGCGGGGATGGTGCCTCTACAATCTGGAAGGTGTTCTGGACTCTGCCGAACAGGATGAAGTGTCTCTCCTCCAGAGAGATGAACCCGAAGTGGTTCTCATGAACAGGATGAAGACTCCAGGGCACCGCCCGGGGTAGGGTGAGCTTATGAGGCAACATTGTGCACAGCATAGAAACACATCCTCCTGCAGGTTCGGGGGTAGTCCTGGTAAGATGAGCGCACGCCCACAGGCAGAGCAAACGGAACAGGCTGCTCCTCTGAAGCTGCAGCCCCGGACTCCCCGACGCTGGGCTGGGCAGGGCTCTGCCAGCCATGGCCCTGGCTTTCCTCAGTCCCGTCTTCTTGCTGCTGCTGCTGCTGCTCCCGGATCACCTGCTGGTCAATCTCCTGGACCACGCGGGAGAGCTCGTTGAAGTTGGGGAAGAACTCGCCATCTGGCAGCTGGATGCAGCGCATGAGGTGGATCTCTAACGTCCCCATGTAGTTTCCCGTGATCTTCTTGTGACCATGGCATACTTCCCATGGAAGCTGAGCATGGCAATCATTAGGCCTAAGCGATCGTATCTGCATTGGAAGAGGCCTGGCCTGATGAGGTCGTATGGTAGGTCAGCCAGTCATATGGCAGTCTGTCCTCAAACACCTGCAGAACCTGTTCTCCCCTAACCGCGTTGGTGAATCCGTTTGGTGGTCTCTCTTGGTCCACTTAGTGCTGAACCTGTCCTTCCGAATCTGCATGAGGCGGCTGTGGGAAAAGCTGTAGAAGTCGTCCGTGCACTCCACCGTGGCTGATTTCCTCTCTGTCAGGCGAATTCTAAACGAGGGTTCGAATTGCATTGGGCCATCCACATGGGTGTTAAGGGAAGGCACGCACGTCCAACCAGTAATGCATAAGCCATCCACCACTACCCTCAGCAGTCTTCTATAGTCATAATCTAGCTGCCACAAACCCAAGACGTACCCATCATCTCCGGTTTCTGCAAGGTTTCAGGAACGCCAAACTCCTCCCGGCAGCGCCATCTCCAGATGCTGTCGGTGTGCAGGATGTGCTGGACTTTTTTGCAAGCCTGGGCCAGGCTGGGCAGGTCGGTGCCGGGAAGCAAGGCGAAGATCTCCACCAGCAGTTTCGCTGGCAGGTCCCGCAGCGAGCAGTGCGGGGCGGTGGGGGAGGCATGGGGCTCTGGATTCCTCCACTCCCCGCACAGCACCGCGCTGCCGAGTCCACCTCCACGTGCTTTTCTGCCAGGGCCGGCTTGCCATCGGCTGCTGCTGTCTCAGCTGCGACCTGGCACTCCTGAAGACACCGACATCCCCGCGAAGAGCCCACGCCCAGAGGCAAGCGCACTCCTCCATGCCTCCTTGCTTAACAGCCACCACAGTGTGGGCCGTCGCCCCTCCACAGGGTTTTTTAGTCTGGCTGGGTCCGCCCCAGAGTCCAGCCACGCCCCCTCAGGGAGGAACCAATTGTAGGACTTTAAACCCATACCCATTAACAGTCACCTCCCTTTCCCAGTGCCCCTCCCTGCCCTCCCGCCCTAGGCCCTGGCAGTCACTAATCTGCTTTCTGTAGGGAGACGCCCCCAGGGATATGCCTATGGAGAGAGGTCAGGGGGGACATTTCACAGAAATGTAGTCCAGAAAAACACAACGGTGGTACATCTACACAATGGAATACTACGCTGCTGGGGTAAAAAAGAAGGAACTCTTGCCATTTGCAACTGCATGAATGGAACTGGAGAGCATTATGCTAAGTGAAATTAGCCAGTCAGAGAAGATAAATACCACATGATCTCACTCATTTGTGGAATATAGAGAACAACATAGACTGATGAACAGGGACAGATCCAGGGAGGGGATTTTGGGGCTAAGGGGAAGAGATCAACCGAAGGACTTGTATGCATACATATAAGCCAAACCAATGAACACAGACAACTGGGGGATGAGAGCATGAGTGGGTTGTGGAGGTTGGGGGTTAATAAGGGGATGAGGACACGTTTGTAGTACCTTAACCAATAAAGAAATTAAAGATTAAAAAATAAAATAAAAAAAGTAATATTCATGAGAATGGTTTTTTTTTTTAAAAAAAAAAGAGAAGCAAGATCTTTACAATAGTATCACTATTCCTTTTTTTTTTTAAATATATTTTATTGCTTTTTACAGAGAGGAAGGGAGAGAGATAGAGAGTCAGAAACATCAATGAGAGAGAAACATCGATCAGCTGCCTCCTGCTCATCTCCTACTGGGGATATACCCGCAACCCAGGTACATGCCCCTGACCGGAATCGAACCTGGGACCCCTCAGTCTGCAGGCCGACGCTCTATCCACTGAGCCAAACCGGCTCCGGCCAATAGTATCACTACTCCTGACAACATCAGAGAGCACACTCTGTCCTGGCCTCTTGGGTAAGGTTGTCAAGAAGGAAAGTTCCCCTTCCATGGACTTAGCTTACGCTGTTCTATAATAGAGCAGGGCCACCCAGAAGGTTACTGAACTTGGGCTGCACAGCAGAGTAGTTATTTACCAGAGCTCTCTACCCAGCTACTTGAGTTCAAATCCTGCTCCTACTTGTCTAGCTTAGTGAAGTTATTTTTACCTCTTTCTGCCTGTTTTCCCCACCTGTGACACAAAGAGTAGTAACAGTACCTCAAAGGGATGTTATGATGATAAATGAGCTAATAGATGCAAAGCACCATTTGCCTGGCACTCAGTAAATGTGCATACTTGTTACTGCTCTCATCATTCCAGCTAAACCTGGAGTTCCTTTAGGATTCCCAGCCCTACCCATGAATGGAGGTTTCAGAGCTCAGATGTCTGATGGAGCTCTTAATCTCTGGTCTCTACTAAGAAGAAAAACACACCAATTAGATACATGAGTAAGAGATAGTTGAACCATAACATGCATTAACCTTTATAAGACATAAGAGCGAAAAGAAAGCTGTGGTTCTCAATGGACATTCCTTATTTGTTTTATCATTTTTAAGTCATTTTTCCTGGGAGATCTTATGTGCCAGCTGAGAACACCTTCTTGGATAAAGACTTCAAACTTTGGAAAGCATTTTCAAGCACATTTTCTCACTTGATCCACTTCAGTCCTAGACAAAAATCTCTGCCTGCATGGAGTTTACATTCTAGTCAGAAGAGACCAAAAACAAACAAATAAGAACATATAGAATGTCAGATACCAATCTGTGATATGGAAAAACACAAAGCAAAGAAGGGTGACAGGGAGTAAAATGAGGTAATAGGAAGGGATTACAGCTTTTTGCTTGTTTGTTTGTTTAATCCTCACCCAAGAATATTTTTCCATTGATTTTTAGTGGAAAATCAGTGGAAGAGAGAGGGAAAGACAGAGAGAAACATTGATGTGAGAGAGACACATCAGTTGGTTGCCTCCTACACGAGCCCCGACCAGAGCCCAGGCCAAAGAGGAACCTGCAATTGAGGTGAGGTATGTGCCCTTGACCAGAATCAAACCTGGGACCCTTCAGTCCACAGGCCCATGCTCTATCCACTGAGCAAAACTGGCTAGGGTGGATTGCAGCTTTAATTGACTGGTCAGGGAAGGCCTTACTGAGAAGGTAATATTTGAATCAAGAGAAAGAGATGAGGGAGGGATCCTGCAAATATTTGGTGGAGGAGCTTCCAGGCAGAGAGAAGAGGCAAGGAAGAAAGCCCTAAAGGAGAAGCAGGCCTAATAAGTTCTAAGAATAGCATGGAGGTTACAACACCTACAGTAGAAGCAGCAAGAAAGAAAGTAGTGTCAGAACCAAGTGCTTAGGGCTTTGTGAATAATTGTAAGGCCATTAATGTTTATTCTGAATTAGATGGGATGCCATTGGAAGATTATTATATATTCCTTATCAGGCAGTAAAATCAATAATAATACATGATAACCCAGCAATTCTCTCCTAGGGATTATACCTACCAGGAATGCACATATATGTACCAAAACACATATACAAAATGTTCATAGCAGCATTATTCAAAATAGCCCCAAACTGGATGCAACCTAAATGTCATACAAGATAAGAACAGATAAATAAATTTTCTTTATGGATGTCATATTTAAATGATGGTTATTTTAAAAATAATTATTATTATAATATGGAAAAATAAAAGATGTGATATCTACCCATGCACAAATTATTGTTAAGCAACTATTGCAAGGTACTGTTAGCCACTCTCAAATTAATGATTGAATTACTTACTATAAATGTATCACATTTGGCAGACCTTTAAGTAAGGGAGTCTTAGTTCTGATAAAGGGGCAATAATTTCATCATTCTGAGATCAGAGGCTTAATGCTCAGCCCAGGCACCCACCTGTGGTCCAATAACCAGGCAATGATGATAAAAGGATCTCAAGATAAACACCTCTCTTTAAATGTGAGGATCCATAGTCAAGCTCTTAACAAATATTTTCAATACAGCACACCTGAATGGGACTCTTAATCAGGAAATATAATCAATAATAAATGGTGATGAATATAGGGAAATGTATGACCTTAATGTAAGTTTTTTAAAATTCTAGTTAAGTGAGTGTAGGCTGGCTAGAGTTCACATTTTCTCAACTGGCTTAAAGTCCAGTGTTTTTGCCTATTAAAGGGTCAGCTATCCATCTGGCATTTAAATCCCATCCTCTAGGAGACAAGCTGATATATTTCTTGTATTTTAAACTAAGGGATATATACAAAGTAGTTCATTGAAACCACACCCTCAGTTAAAGTCAGACTGTATTAAGGGCAAATTACCTTAAATATGGCATGCTTTAGAGTTATGTTCTACATCTTTTTTATGTATTAGATGTGAATATTTGTAGAGACCCATAAGATGTGTATTATAGTGTCAGGAGCATTCACTCCCTAAACCAAGAGAGTAAGGCCACAACAGAAGCTAAATTCAGATGAGTGTGGGGGGGTGGGGGACAGAAATGACTCTGGAAAATACTCAGGGGGCGAGGGGGGGGGACGGGGGGGGAGAAACCCAGAGCTCACAGTAAACCATAACCTCAGCTTTCTAATTCTGAGATGATAGGGGGGAACATCTGTTTACCAGTTAAATACGCTGCCATTTACATGAGGGACTACATTTAATGGACAAAGCATTAAGAGCATTGAAGGATGACATGCTTTGTTTGCAGTACTGTGTGACTGCACAGCTTTCCAGCCAGCACGCATGTCCAACACAACTGAGTAGCCCTATGAGCCATTACATCCAATTCTCACTGTTGAAAGCCTTCGTTGGGCAGGAAAACAAGGCTGCTCTGGATCGTCCATATTGTAAGTCCCAGCACCACAGAGCTAGTCGAAGCTTCTTCTTGGAAATACGGTATTTAAAGCTGAGGAGTCATAGGATCTAAAACCATGAAAAGTAACAGTCTAATGGCTTTGAGTTTATATGGTTATTTCAATCATTTAAAGGAGATAGAGCTAGAGAGAAACTTCCTAAACACCTTGACTAATAAATTGTCAGTGTTTAAAGAATAATTACATTATGAAATGGAAATTAGCTGCTATGATCAAGCCATATGGCTAATATAATTAATCGGTTCATATTTTTGAGAGGAGGGGAAAGCACAACCCAAAGAAAAACTAAGTCATTACAAAATTAAATAGAGATGAAACGTTCTATTTTGTTGGGCTGGCTGGGATTTTGTGAAGAACAGAGAGGGGGGAAACCTTTGTTATCTCTGATTGTAAATGAAAATTATGAACAAAAAAGTTCAATGATTGGATCTCACACAAAATGGAAATTTGCACATATAGATGCAAAATAAGTGTACATATATGTAAAGAGACATTAAGATGAGAAGCTATATAAATATTCACTTCTATAGCTCATAGCATAAGAAAATGTGGTTCTGTGTTTTCTCCCTATTTTAAAAGCACACTTCAGTAACTCTGCAGTTACATCATGCTTTGACCATGCTTACTCTGTAGCCCTCCTCTAATAGGTGACAATTTCCTGCAGGGACACTTGACAAACTGAAATGTGCTTATAAGAAAACATCTCAAGACTTGACGAAGATGTGTCTTTTGTTTGTTTGTTTGTTTTATTTTGTTTATCCTCACCCAGGGATATTTTTTCCATTGATTTTGAGAGAGAGAGAGAGAGAGAGAGAGAGAGAGAGAGATGAGAGAGACACGTCAATTGGCTGCCTCCTGCACACACCCTAACCAAGGCAGGGGAATGGAGCCCTTTGGGGCACTCAA